AATGCTCTTGTGGTCATTGCCAGTTCCGAGCTTGTACTGACTGCACGTTCAAGAAAAGTTAACATTTTTCAAATTTTGAATTTTAAAATTTCAAAGAATTTAAAGTGAGTTTAAACTCTTAGAGCGAACTAACAAAGTCAGAATCTGTAGTAGTGGATTTAAGACGGTAAAATCTCATACGGAACACCTGGAAATGTGCATCGAGCACGAACTTTCAAATGCACTGTGCTGCAGATCACTTGTTTCACTGATCTGTCAGCTGTCGACGCGTTCGTGGCTGTTTGCTTCTGTTTCAGACAAAATTAGCCGGTACATTTGGCGTCTACTTGTTTGACAGTATTTCTGCAGTTTGACGCATTTCTGCAGTGTGTGCCACTCTCGAGATCAAACGTGAGTAGTTTCACTCACAGATTATGTCTTTACACTGTAAGCATACACGACCGTGTTCGCACAGTCGGTATGACCAGTGCTGCAACCACCGGCCTTGGCCGAAAGAGCGAGCCACATGGAACGATTGATCTGGGTGGACACAACTTTGCACCTAAATCTATATCGCTTGACCCATTTCGAAATGCGGTCGCTTTTTGTTGTCATGCACGTGAACGCCTTCTTTCACGAGAGTACCTTCAAGTGATGCTTGTCACGTGTAGTAAACGAAACGAGATGACAAGATGGCTAGACGAACCACCGCGGGGCCCCAGCGGGTTCGTGGAAACAAGGAGCTAAAAGGACCGATCTGGTTTCGGCCGATCACATACAATGCCGACCATAATTGCCTGCTACAGCTAACCCTTTATGGTCAGCACTAACGAGTTGTGTTCGACGGTCGGTCGCTTCAAAATCGAGCGAGGATCGTCCGTTCGGTTCGGCAGGGCGATGTCCAAAGGAATGCGGTTAGCCTTGATAAAAAGTGGCGAGGCGGAGGCGGAGGCGGCGACGATCGTCTTCCAAGTGCTTTATTTCGGCCGGTGGTTTCGTTTCATTGCCACATGCATGCATTTCGACCGGAAAATCCACCTGTATCAAAGGCGGTGCCAAAGCCATTCGTTCTCTGACCTCGAGTTTCCACCCGTTCACTTTCGCAGCAAACAACATATTTTCTTATGAAAAGTAACTACACCAGTTTTGACTGGCAAAGGCGATCTTCATGAATCCGTGAAAACCGCATTTCCTCAAACACACAGTGAGTCAGGTTTCAACGAGGGTTGCTATCAGCATCGGCACGTTTTCGTAAATCATTACTGTATAACTCATACAGTGATATAATGAATGTGAGGTGACCAGCGTACAAAATGATGTGACATGCATTCGGCACCGCAGGTGCTCAAATACCATTGAGTCGTGGCCTCATTAAATGCCCACAGGTTACTAGGAGCAAGGCACGGATGCAATACGCCGTGAAATCTGGTCTTCGAGGAATACGTGCTATAGCATAAGAGCATATTTTGAAGTTCATGCAGCACGTAGGGTGTATCAGGTCCGTTCAACGACCGTTCGTGGTGAACATGAAGTGGTTAGAGCGAACAACATGATGCCAGATGCATCGGGTACTCAAATATCATGAAGTATGAAGCCTAGGCGGCAAACGGCAACTGGGACTTGCTGAAGCGCGGCCTCTGTTGAAGAAAGTCAGTGGGTCAGAAAGCCAATCATGGCGATCCCATTTCGCTGGGAAAAGCAGTGTTAACGCGGGTTCTTCTGTACCATCCATTGGAGTAAAAACACAAAAGTCTGATTAATCATTTAGGTGATCATATCTAGTGATCCTTGAATAAATTTCGAGTGACGTTTAAACTCCCACCTGGAAGTAAAATCAGCGTATGCTTCTGTTGACGTCCTGAACAATAAGCGACAGTGATTCGAAGTTTGCGAGAGAAGACAATGAGTGTCTCGAAAGTCATAGAGTGTCTTGCCTTCATCAGTCCGAATTTCATCGCTGACTTTAATGTTTGTCACAATGCTTCTTCTCACCTTTCGAGAAGAAAAAGGAAAGTGAAGGAAAAATTGTAACCGTTAGAATATCGGTCTTCGTTGCATTTTCATGACTGGGCCATTCTGCTGCTCTTGTTTTCAGATAGCTAATGCTGCGATGCTGATCTCCGTTTTCTGCCATCGGTCAGGAGTGCCTTATTTCAAAGACATAGTTTGCAGTCGTATGGCAAGTATAGCGTGTATTATCTTGTTTCCATCCCACAGTGTGGTACTCATTTAACAACCTCAGAAGAAGGAAGGGCGAATGTACCCGATTAGAGTTCAAACTCGGAACCGGTATGCTATATCGACTGAGAAACCCCTGAAACAATGTGTGGTAGCAATAAATTCCTTATTCAAGGGAATTCGCGGATAAGTCAAAGATTGCACCTCTAGAGTTCGAAGCGGACCTCTTAGGCACTGTGCCACCACGCCACTTTTGAAAGCAAGACATGAGTAGGACATACGGAAGTGATAATTCCTTTGGGAGCTCTCAGTTGGCTTCTACAACATTTTTGTGCTCCTAAGTAGCCCTGAGGTATGACCTATGCGGCATCGGTATTCTTCAGAACACTTTCTGTCCGCGACTTTGCCACCATACGACGTTGTCGTCGTTCTTCTGCTCTGTTTTCCGGTGTGCCCAATGAACGCGTGGAGTGGCTTATGTTTTCTGAAATCTGTGCTGTCACAAAATAGTTGTCCAATAACATTTTTGACTATCCACTGTATCAGCTGCACGATCCTTTCGTCAGCTGCCAGTCAAGAGTGATGGTGGCGCATTCAACATCTATTCTCATGTACGCTTGGATAGAGAGTTTAAGATGATCAGAGATACATCACCTTATCTGGATGCTGAGAGATCCATATGGCTGCGAAGGCGAACTACGAAGACAAGATTAAGTTTGACTTAACTTTTCGACTTCGTGTAAATTTTATATTGATTGTTTATTTATTTGTATACACAATGCATCAAACCGCTGAAAAGTAGATGGGTTATGTCTGCTGTAGCAGTAATGGTAATTATTTGACTTGAATTCTGTTCAATTCTGTACAGTACAGTAGACTAGACATAATGCGGAATAACATTTCTACTGCAAAGAGAAGCTTCTTGGACTTATCCTAATGGAGAGGGCAATCCTTTCCTTCTGTCATATGGTTTATGGAGATTAGCAACTCCCTATCAGAAGAGGAGCAGTCATCAAGAAAGACACTACACAAACCTGAATGAAGTAAGTTATGACATTAGTTTTGACAGTGGATTGTGAGGGGATAGCTAGGTCACTTGCTCATGTCTATGGCAACGAGTTGGAATCTACAGGAGGTAAAAAATGTTTTATTGACTACCAAGAAATTAATTTACCTCGTGTATGTCGGCTTACTCAGCTGAGAAACGGTTGACATGTCAATAACATGTGAAGAATGGAACACATCGTTGTATCAGAAATCCATAACTTGCGATCACATCGTGCAGCGTGAATCAAAACGACTCATTGACTTACCTGATTCCCGAAGCTATAGTTAGGGCAATGGAGTAATTTTCTCGTGCGTTGGTGTTCATTCTGAAAATGTTAACCGGGACACGAACGCTAAGCGGGTTGGACAAGCCTTATCAAGCCCCTGACCCTAAAATTACTTAACCAATAGAATTGGCCGAAAGCACACCTTTGGCACCAAGCGCCATAACAGTTGCGGACCGCTCATTCTCAAAAAGGCTCGTGAAAAATGAGTCAAAACGTCTGTACTGGTCAATCACCCAATTGATCAACTAATTTCTTTGCGTTGTCTATAAACAAATCATTTTTATGCATTTTTCATGTTTTGAGCTATCGTTAGGATCAGTACGTGATGGAAACGATACACATATATTACGCACTAGAACCTGGGCCAAACGAATAGCTCATTTAATCAAAGTCATCGGCCCTCATCGCCACGTTCCAGACCGATAGATAGAATTTTCTATGACGAACCAACATCTGAAAACCATCTGAAACAGCCGTTCGTTCCTGTTCAACAAACAATTTTTGGTTCCTTAAAGATAGCTAATCTTTCATAATTTTTGGTTCGATGAGAAATAAAAATTTCTGACACTTGCATTCGCTATTCCGTAGGCCTCCCAATGCCTCCCAGCACCCCGTTAAGCACTACATTGCTGGTTCGTGAGCCAGGGGCAAACGTTTAGGTAGTACGCATGTATCTTGTTCATACGGCTATTCACTTCAATAAACTTGCCTACACAAATTAAAACACGAGCAGGCATCGCGTAACCGAGTTTCGAACTGCTAAATAGCTATAATCTAGTTCCTTGAAACTTATAGAGCGCCAAATTTAAATTTAACCAGGAGCACTGCCTCAATCAGTCAAGAAACGAACAAATGATCGACTACCTTTCAGTCGTGAACACCATAGCCCTGGTGTCTGATCATGCAGTTGTTAAAACTACTTAATACAGGTTGCGCATCCATGTCTATACATAAGCAATTGAAATAACAAACCATGCTGTTAAAGAATGAGATTGAGTACGAGCAGCCCTCTTTTTGGAAAACCGGCTGTAAGGGAGTGTGAATTCTTGTTTAACTCATCACCAATAAATCAGTCGCCTTTACCAAGAGAAGGGGTTAAACGTTTCTTCAGTAGGGGTAATACACTAAGCTGATTGCTACATAAAATTGTCAGCATCGTTTTATTCAATATGATAATGATGTAATATATACAATAAGTTATAACTCGTGTAATGTTATACACTAGGAAGACATCCAGGGTTTATAAGGTGAGGGTAGCGGAACATACCAGAACCATCGCGAACAATCATGTTGCATATTCAGGTATTGCGTGCCATGCCTTGGACTGAAATCATAGATTTATTGCAGCCGCTGTCTCTGTTATTGATGAAGATGAAGACAAGATCAAAATGCTATTAAGAGAATCGCATATCTTCACTGAACAAAGTAAAATATGAAACCGCTGTGTTACCTCCTTTGAGGCAACAGGGGTCTGTTGTTCAGTGAACTTAAACTTCCTCAAGATTTTTCGTTCATAGGTCAAATCTTTGGTCACTCCTCGGAGTTGCATACCTTTCTTTACGACATTGCGCTACCTTTATTTTGGCCTTCCACTTTTCGTTTCAAGTAGCATCAGCGTATGAACCACATTTACGAAGCACTCGTTGGATTTTCTTTTCCAATAGCCATATCGAAAGAGCCTGCATTCGATAGGCTTTCCTGAAACTGCTGTTACTTCGAAGGTGCCTCATATGAAGGCATTCCGGATGTGGTCTTTTCGCTAATACCACACATTCATCTGATCATTTGCATTTCTACGGAGTTCAGCTGTTGCTTGTGACTCTCAAGTTAATCAAGCATTCCGTTCTGTTTGTACAAAAGTACCGGTCTTACTGTCTTTAAGTACAGCTTGCCCTTTAGTTTAATGGAAGGTTTTCTTAGCACATAGCACAACGACTGCACAACTCTCTCCATCTGAAACATCTGTTTTTGCCGATTATTTAAATTTCTCCATTACTTTGAATGAAAGAAACTAAGATAGCTGAAGCTTTAAATTTCAGGAAGCGTGCCCCCCCCCGCTACTTCACTGATTTGCTGGCTTTCACTGTGTTCTCTCCACTGAAGTAGCCCGCCTTGTATTGCGACTTGCTTAGGTGAGTTGAAGGCAATTTTTCTTAAGGACTCGAGTTTTTCTTCTAATGCATGAAGTTTAATATACTGTCTGATTTACTGATGACCCGGCGGTACCCTCGCACCCGTGAGGTACTGTGGTGTGGTACGGAATGTCGGCCAAAAATAAAATTCTCCCTCTCATTTTTGTGCTTTTGACCACCGCACTGGAAGACTTTTTGTCTTGAAGTCTGATGGAAAATAGTCTTCCGACTGATTTGAGAAAGTAGATAGAAGAAGAGTTGAAAGTCTAAAACAGAAACTCTAGCATTTGACAGCATTGCAAATATTTTATTTCAGGGAGATAAGGTTCTAAATTTGACACAAGAAGCGTATCAATGCTCGGACACCAAAATCTTGTTGTTCCCGGATAATCAGTGCTACACAATCTGTCATCAAAAAGGAAAATGAATGAAGTTTGTAACCGTTGGAATGTCGATCTTCTTTACAGTTTCATCATTAGGCTAT